TAATAATATATAGATATATAAATATATGTTGAAGAGGTATTTATATTTTTGACCGCTGCAGTACATGCATACGCAACGCGCGCGTCACGTGTGCTCTCTTCTGGCCGCTCTCTTCGCTCCCGCGGTCTCTCTGTTTTGTCCATGTCCTCTTGCTGCGCTCTCTTTAGTCGGCCGCTGCACTGTGGTGTTGTTGCTTTGCGAATGCTGCGGCAGCGCCGTCGACTGCGATGAGGCAGCGGCAAAGGCAAAGTTAAAGCCATTGAGCGGCGTTCGCATTTAGTTTGCTTCTGTCATTGCATTTGTGCGGGTAGGAATTATCACAAGAAACATTTAAGAAACATAAGAAACAGACCGAACGGACAACAAAATAAGGCGCAGAGGAAACCGAAAAGCTAGGCACAAAACAACCAAATCAAATCGCTTGCCCGTATTTTTTTCTCGTTTAAGTGCAACCTACGAAAAGCAGAATAGGAAAAAGCAGCAGCATAGTGCTTTAAATTTCTAACGGTAAATAGTGAGCTAATTTCAAAGTGCAAAAAGTGCAAAGTGCGAAGTTTTCTGCCAGTGTGTATATACTTTTTTTTTAATTTCCTTTTTCTTTTGCATTTGCACCTATATGTACATATGATGTACATATAATGTACATACATGCATACGTATATTGAATTGTTTGTGTTTTCGCAAACTAATTTGTTCGTTTTTATTTTTATTTATAGCTTTTAAAGTGTTTGCTTTGCATGTTTGCCTTTGTTTCTATTTTTGTTTGATTTTTAATCCTGTTTTTGATCATTATTTATATGCGAGTGAATTGCATTTAAGATGTGCGTGTCAGCTTCGTTTTTTTAGGTATTGGTTGAAGAACTTTTTTATTCTTTAGTTTTGTTAGTGGTTCTCTTTTTCCTAAAAAGCCGTTCTTCAGTTTTTTCATTCTGGTGTCTTGCTTTTAGCTTTGTTTTTAGCATGTGCCCCTTTTTGTGGTGAGTAAGAAAGAGAGAGAGAGGGTGGGGTTTGGTTTGTCTTGCTTATTCTTTCTTTTTTCGTTTGTGGTTATTTTATTTTTTCTCCACACCATCTGCCATGCACACAAAAATAACAACAAAATGTACAGAGGAGCGCGTGCTTTTTTGTGCCGTCTCGCATTACATTTCATTCGCTCTCGCACACACACACAACCTAAACTTGAAAAAGCCAAACCAAAAAATATAAGAAGCGACGTGACCAGGCTCTCTTCGCAGCGTCTCTTAGTTTACTCTCTTTTGTGGGGGTGCGCGCTCTCTGCCGCCTAGGCACTTTGTCCGCTCCGCTTGCCCAATTGTTTTCTCATTTCATTTCACGTTGTTTAGCCGTAGCGTGCGCGTCGCAGTCGCAGTCGCCGTCGCCGCAGACGTAGACGTCACACTCTAAAAGTTGCGTCAGTTAAAAAAATATAAATATATATACATAATTAAATTTATAAAGTCAAGAGGAACTCCAAAGAAAACCAAGTTTGTTTTTTGTTTAAGTTTTGCGTCGAAAAGTGTGTGGTAAAAGTTTTAAACAAAGTAGGTGGAAAAACGAAAACAACAGCAAAAGCCCAAAAAAAAAAAAAAAACAAAAATGTTGCATTTGTATTAGTGCTCCCGCGACAGCTCTTTATTTGTATTTCAATCTTATGTGTATGTGTGTGTATGTTTAAGCTTTTTCTGGGTGTATTTAAATATATTTTCAAATAATTTTAAATATGATTAAGTATACCAAGCATAGCAACATATTAATGAATTGGTAGTTTTCTCAGTCATCAATTTATTTTATCATCAATTGTTGATGTTTCGATTTTCAAATTTTTTTTTTTTTTTTTCCATTGGAATATTTCTACAAAATAATAAAATTTCCAAACAAATAAAGGAAAACTCAATCACACGTATGTTCCCCACAGTAGATTTTCCTGTTTCATATTTTTAGCTATTTTTAAACGCCAAAAAACAAAAAGTTCTTTATTTTGCACGCTTCATCACTCTTTATTTCAAAATTAGCAACAATAACACATGACGAAAACTGCCAGAAAAGAAAAGAAATGCAAAGAAAGTGTGTGATAAAACTCGCAGAGAGAAATACACAGACACCGAGAGAGAGCGGCAGAGAGTAAAAACAAGAGCTTCAGAGAATCAGAACGGTTTTTTTTTTATTATTTTGTTTTTGTCGAATTCACTTTCTTTTTATTTATTTATTTTATTTATTTTTTTTTTTTTTTTTCAAAATACTATTTCAATTTTGTTAACACATTTTTTATTTGAGTTATGTGATAAACAAGTAAGGAAAGATTTGTGGAACAACTTTAAATCATTTCAAAGATAAAAAAAATTCAATAAATTGACATTTAGGAATTGTGTAAGTTGGTAATAGAACGAAGTGAGTAAAAAAAACAAAAATATTTGTGGCTAAATTCTGGACTGTGATAATCAGATTCACTGCATTGCAAAATTCGATATACAAATAAAATAACGGAAAGGGGATCGAGTTGCACGAAGTGTTTCTCAGATTACCAATCTCTTTTCTTTTGCAGCTTCTTCTTCCATCTCTCTTATGGATTAAATCAACCGCAAAGTGTTCCATTAATTTGTGACCATTCATTTTTTCCTTGTTCTCCATTTCATTTTTCGTTTCTCTGTTCCGTTTACCTTTTACCTTTGCAACTTTTGCATTTTGAATTTTTCAGTTGGGTTGAGAATTGAGTTTTATATAATTATTATTGTTTATGAGGAATCCCTTACTATCCGGCAGCAACCCCTCCTTCAAGAGTTATGTTCCGGTTTTTGTCCCAGAAAGGTTGACTTTCTTCCCTTTCGATTAATCTACGAACAGCGGAACTTCCCCTAAGGAGTACCTCTGAATATAAAGTGTTCAGATACTCGATACGATATAGATGTAGTTTTAATAAAAAGTTGACTCTAAGCGTATTAATAACTATTTTATAATTATTTTCATCCGTTTCAAAATAATTGGATTAAAATAAAAATATATAATATTAGAAATAAAGAAAGAGTAATTTTCATTAAATATATTAAAATATTCGTACATATGTATACGATTAAATTCCCACGCTGCCCAAGAAAGTTACCAAAGAAAGATTGACAATGGGCCGCATAGGGTATTTAGGGAAATATGATGACGACCCTTGGCCGTCCGTCGGCGTCCGACCCTTGGGGTGGATTTCCACTCCCCAACTCACCTCTCTCTCGCTGATACGCTCGTCAGCTCCTTCGCCCTTTTGTTGTTATTCATTTTCGGGTCGATTTCTGCTTTGCGTTTCAGGTACGACAATATAAATTTTCAGTTCGGTGTTATGTTTTCTCGGTTCCAAAAGCTGGTGTGAGATTGCGTGGGTGTCTCACAGTCAATTACTGCGATTTTTTTTTTTTTTTTTTTTTTTTCTCTCTTTACCGTGCCATTTAAAGCGATTTCGATTTGAATACTTAATAGAATTTGCCACGCGCCGGAGGTTTTCTTTGCCATTACCCATCTCTCCAAGCTCCCAGTTCTCATCCTGTTTCTCGCACAAATTCTCTTTTATCGTGTTTAGCTCTCATCTTAGTTGACGATGAACATGTCACCCCGTAAAAAAAAAAAAAAAAAAACAACGAGGAACAAGAGACACCAAAGCTTTTAATACCCTTAAAAAAATAAATAATTTCATGAGAATAGTTTCTGCAATTTTGTTGTTTTATTGATTTGGCAAACATTTGAGTATCGTAGCTAGCTAGCCCAAATTGTATGGAAAAACTAAACTTTTTAATTTTTTTTTTTTATTGTTATAATAAAAAACAAAGGTATTTTTGTTATATTCGTTTTTTAACGCAAAATACAGTGGTGAAACAATAAATGCAAAAATACCACAACATCGTGCGAAAATAATAATCCTCGTGTGAGTGTGTTTTTAAAGAGATTTGTATGTGTAGGATAGGTAATGGGGGTGTGAGTATGAAGTGGGGGAAGGGCAGAGTGGCCATCAAAAGCGTCTTTAATGTCAAGGCAGCGTCATTCGAAGGACTTTTTACGTATCAAAGCTCTTCTCTCCCTCCTCACTCTCTTTATGTTTTCGCTGCCAACTTTGTTGAGCAAAAAAGAGGAAGTGGGAGAGGAGAGCAGCTGTTGGATAAATAACGCCGGCTGCAACTTTCTGTTCTCTGAGAGCGCGACCCTTGACCTTTTCATATGAATTATGACAACAACAAAGGCACAATGTAACATTACTTTTCTCTTAATACTGCTTGCCGCTCAGTTGAATGCCCCACACGCACACACATGAACAGCGAGCAGCTGATGGATAAGCAAAGAAGAAAAGAGGAAAACAGGAGATGGCGATCAAGTGGTCCGTGTGGGGAGGGGTGTGTGGCGAAGAAAGGCAGAGAGCAGGCTGCGCGCACGCGCCAATCTTTCATTATTTCCTTTTTTCGCTTGAGTTTATGTTTATTATATATTTCTCTGCTGGTTCAGCTCTTTCTCCCACTCTCTTTTGCCTGCAACTTGTTGGTTGGGGAGCTCCTGCCTCTGTATGTCTTTTCCTCTCTTTCTGTTTGTTTTTTCTTTGCCTTAGTCTTTTGTTTTTGTTTTTTTTTTCTTTATTTTTTGTTGCCACGCAGCTGTGCACAATTAGCGCAAACGCAACAGCTGCTGTCGCCGACGTCGACGCAAACTGCTAAGCCATTGCTTCCTCTTCTCTGCCAACAACATAATAAAATAGTTTCCAACTTATTATACCGATTATAGATGTCAAACTACACTATTTATTCCGCCAATAATTTTTTTCTTTCCTTTAAGCCATCTCTTAGAATAGGATAACATCTTATTTATTATACCTATTTCTTTGACATGAAAGTTGACTTCAAAACAATTTAACTTAATTATATTAATAGCATATGTAGTAATTATTTAATATTTATACCGATTGTTTTTTGGGGGCTGAGTTATTTGTTCTATAAAATGAAATGTAACTAACAGTATCTAATTTTTTATCCTTTCAGCTTAAACCACAAGTAATCACAACAAAATAAACATTCTAATATAAAATACCACAAACAATAGCAACAATAATAATAAAAGCAGAAACCACCGAAGATAAGTTTAAAGTAAAAATAGCAACGTCGTAAATCAAACAACTAATACAACCCAACATCCGTTTCGAAAACAAAACCATCTTAATATTCACCAAAAACAAATTAAGAAATTAACAAAAGCCAATATACACTGGAAACGCAGCAACAATTTTCAAAAGCAAAAGTTTCAACATTAGTTTCCGAAAATCCAATTTTTTATAAAAACAAAATTCAACAATTAATTGAGGACCAGTTTCAACAACAACAAATATTTCAACAATAAAGTGCCGCGTCCCAAAGTTGCCTCACCGCTGCTCTCTTGCTCTCTCTCAACAATACGTGTATTCGTGTTTGTTCGTTGGTGTATTTATTTGTTTTTATATTACATTTCACGTGTCCTTTACCGTGTTCCGCGTGTGTATCCGTGTGTGCGTCCGTGTGAGAGAAAGAGTGAGCGCACATTGTTTTTTTTGTCTGTGTATGCTATGTCACGGAGTATAGGCATTAATGCGCTCCTCGAGGCGGCTGAATTTTTAGCGCAGAATGAGAAGCTCCCGCAGGCGGGAGGCGGTCCCATTGGACTGGGCGTGGCCATTCCCACCTCCCACCAACACCATCATCACCAGCTGCAACAACATTATAAAAGCAACTCCCTCAACAACAATAACAACACCAATACCAACAACAACAATAGTAATCAGCACAATAGGAACAATAGCAGTAACGGAATTATTGCATCGCCGCCATTTACGAACGGAAATGGTAACGGTATCGGAATCCATAACGTGAACTCCAACGTAAACGTTAACGTCAACGGCAACGGCAACGGCCTGAGTAACGGTAACGGGCACGGGCACAGTAGCACCAACAACAGCCCGCGCAGTCAATTAACCCACGATTACGATTACGTCGGCAGTGGCAGTGGCAGCGCTGCCGCCAACGGACACAGCGAAGGTCGCGCCCCCATCTCGGGTAAGTTAACTACCCTCTAACCTTCAACCCCGTCCCCCAACCTCCAAAGGATTGATATTCCAGCACCCCGTAAAATTATGTATTTAAATAAAAGTTTATAATATTTAGTTATCCAGAGGTACCCAAAGGTATCAAAGTAAAGCTAGTACAATCCAAAGATTTAAGCTATAAAAAAATCCACTATCTGTTAAACATCCATAAATTTGTTTATTGCTTTGAAAATATATTTATAGTTTGTATTAAAAATAGCAATAATGGAAAAAAAAACTGGAAAATCAATTCTATCAATATTCCCCCTCATTATAAAACCCTTAACAAAACCATTTTGCATTTTCATCACTCATTAACTCCATATCATACCGAATTCCAAGACCCAACTCAAGGTGTTGCTACTGAACTCTCCGCTGCTGTTTTGTTTTCTCAATGCAAAACATTACTTGCTGATTGGGTATTGGGTTCTTGTACAGGCGATCTAACTTTCCAAGCCATTTTCCCGGGTACTACCTTTCACCTTTAGAATTGGCTTATTTCTTTTTATTATTGCTCTTATAAAGTTAGTCTGTGAACTACAATTTAAGCAATTTAGCCGTATGTTCAAAGTTCCTTCACTTTGATTGATAAACAAATATTACTGATAACGTCGCACTGCTCTGAAATTTTTTGTTTACGATAAAAAAAATTGAGACATGCGTTGAGTAGGTGTTAATAAAAACGATTTAAAATATTCGTAGGATTTAGGTTTCTCCGTATTGTACTGAGTCTAATTCTGTTTGTGATTTCCTGCATTCCTTGGTATCTCGAGTATATAAACAATGTTATTGGTTTTTCTAGTTTCTACAATTGTTTTTTTTATTTAGCAAACGACACTTTTGTCGCCTGGCCATAAACGAAACTGTTGCTGCTCTCTTTTGCCTTTGCTTTTCCATTTGCTTTGCTGCATTTAAACTTGTTTTGACCTTGTTTGCGACGCCGCCGTCGACGTCGACTGCACTTTGCGTGGGCGCGCACTGTACAAAAAAAAATATAGCAAGAAAAATTAAATAAAATAATATAAAGTCCCAAAGAGCAACAACAAACACCAATCTCTCTCGTCCCCACTCTCTATCTCGCTATCTCTTTCTTTGGCACAGGTTGCAAGCGTGGCAAGCAGCAGGTACTGTTATATTTTTAGCGCGCTGTTTGCTTTGTCGTCGACGTCAGCTGTGCCGTCGACGTCGCTGCCCAATTGGCATGTGCTAAATTGTCATGCGGCTTTTGTTGTTGTTTCTGTTGTTGGCTTTGTTGCCTTGACTATTGGATAAAGAAAATGCAACGTAAAGACTTGAAAAAATTCGAGATGTTGTTTCACGAATAATTTTTTAATTTAAGTTAAATTTTAATTTATATTATGTTTTTATTGGATAGAAAACAATAGGGTTTATCATAGACATTCAAAACCTTGCTTAACATAAGGTAGAAAGTGAGCTTAAGTTCGAGTTATAGAAGCTCCACTGTCTTTTGTATTTTGTTTTCGTTTGCATTTTGCTGTGCTCAATTCGGTTGGTTGATTTTTACCTTTTTTTGTCAACATACTACGACCTTTTTTTCTCCATCGTGGCTTTAAAATTTGCCTTTTTATTTTTTGCTTCTTTTTCACTTTTGTCATCGCATCATTCGTATTTTTTCGCACGTACGCTTGTACTTGTTGCTGTTGTTGTTTGGGGTCACGTCATGTTGAGCTACCTCTCTCTCGTGTTTTCTCTCTTGCCTCCCTCACTGTTTTGCACAAATTAGTCATAACTTGGCTAAAGAGGGTGAGAACCAGCCCACGTGAGAGAGAGAGATATAGAGAGAGAGAGCTCTGTCTCTCCTCTCTTAACAAATGTTTTTTGCAAGGAAACTGGGCTTTTCTTGTAGTCTTTATTACGTTCCCTTGTTGCTCTCTTTCCTACTCTCTTGCGGCTCTCTTAACTCAACGCTGGTGTAAAGCAAAGTCAATGAACTTTGTACGCATTTTTGTTGGCCTGTTTTTTTTCTTCTTGTTTTTGTTGTTGTTGTTTTTCGTGCCCATTTCATATTACTTGGCCTTTCTTTTATGTTTTATGTTTGTCTTCTTCGCACTTTTAAATTTTAATTTTTTTATGGTATGTTGCATGTGTAATATTTGGACAGCTGTATATATTTTTTTGTTTTCCCTATCGCTGTCTGCCCTTTGTCTAGTTTTTTTTATTTTCCTGGTTTCCGTATTTCTCTTGATCATTTTTTAGCTTAGTAAATAAAATAAAAAAAAGCTAGGATTCTATTTATATATATATTGCCGAAAGTCCCGGGAAATTTATATTGTTTTTCCTGATAAATAGCTGTAATTTTCTGGGGGGCTGGGGAAATAGTGCAGTAAGTTTTTCCCCCCAAAATATAAATGAACAATGTTGGGTGGATAACGTTTATCTTCAATTTAATGTTAGACCTTGACGAGTGTTTTTAATTATTATTCTTAAAATAATTAAGGAAAAATGAATAATGAGAGGATATAAATAAACCATTGATATTTCAAGAATATAAAATAATAAGTTAAGACTGAAGCAAATGTGTAGATATTAAAGCTCTTTTCTTGTTGCCACCATCCCCTCCTTGCATTCCACTGAGCTTTACTGTAATATGCAAACGATTTTCTGTAGCTGTTTTCCATCAGATTTGCATTATCACGCAAATACAAATTTCCTCTTTTGATTTTTCCCATTTCCCTGGGACGGATTTCTTCTTCTTGTTCTCCTTCTTCACTTACTGGCACTCATTTCCCGCCGAGTCGCGGACGGGAAAACTTCAAATTGCCGCCATTTTTCGATGCAATGTCGCAACCCGGCGATAACTTTACCGCAACGACACGGCAGCAGCATCAATATTAACATCAACATCACCATCAAGTCATTGCTGCTGACTTGCTTAAACATTTAAGTGCATTGCAAAGTTTACTGCAGCAACTTGAACATTTTGTGGTCCTGCAGCAGCAGCAGCAAACGAAGGAAATTACATCACTCTTTACCCTTTTCACACAGAAAAAGGAAAGCGGATGAAGCGCCTGTTCTTTTCATTGCTTTGGTAACCAAGTTTTATCGCTTGGTTATATTTTCATTCAATTATATACTGAGAGCCAGCTACTTTAGAAGGATATTTTCAAGTCAATTTTAATCAAACGAATTTCCAAAGCAAGCTTTATCTGTAGAATGAACTGTTTGGTAATTCATTATTGGGCTAATACCAAGCCTATTTCTATATTACAAAAAATGTATTTAAAATTTTTTTTTTAACTGTATATCGTGTCGCATATGTACATATACATACGTGTGTGCAAGTGCGATAACGTGGGTGGTGGGGCGTGTGTCTTGTATTGCTGTTGCAGCCACGTGCGCTTTCGTCACGTGGCAATGCGATGCGATGGCAAAAGCAATGTGGGCGTTAACAGGGAAAGAGTGAGGTGAGAGTGAGAGAGAGATAGAGAGGAGAAACACATGTGCCAGGAAACGAGTAAAGAGAATGAAGGGAATGAAAGGTAGATGATTCTCCCTAAAAACTATGCTATATAAAGGATATAGGAAGGCGCTTTATCTTCGGGATAAATACATTATGCACGAAAAAAGCCTTTAATCAATATATATTCTACAAAATTAAGAGAAATTGCGTTTTCCCGAATTCTTATTAGTATATTTCGAATTATGTTTTGGTATATGTTAGATTCTGTCAATGTTTATCAAGTGGAACACTTCTTAATGTGACTATATTTAAAACAAAGATTTTAAAAAAGTTTTACTTTTTGATGTTTGTCTTGCTGTCACCAGTATTTATTTTACTTGCAAAAGTTTCAAATTTGAATTTCCCTAAAGTAAAGTTGAAATCACACCTATTTCGAATGCAATACAATGCTCTTGTTCTATTTATTCAATATGTGCTTGCATAAAGAAATTCTTGAGGCACAAAGTTTTTTGTATTGATAAGTCAGTTTGCTGCTGTGCCATTCGATATTCTCTTTAGCCATATGACCCACTTCCACACAGTAAAATCAGATCGGATTTAGATATTATATAACAAGGGTTTATTTTGTAATCGTAGTATTGCCAAACAACTAATATACCAACCCCGATTACGTTGGTGTTTAATAAAAATCCCTGTCATGAACGCTACAAAATTACACTGGCTGCAATAAAAATATGTTCAAGTATATATTTTACTGTCTATAACAAGATTTCTTAAACCAAGCTCTTTTAGACTTATGAATTGCCAATCCAATAACACCAGGACAATATAATTGGTCTTTTAAAACTTTTAAATATGCATTTTTTCCGCAAGATTGTCAAAAGGGTTATTATTATTCAAATAATTTATATTTTTGCAACAATTTCAATCAATTTATGTGGCTTTTCTGGTCTCTCAAAATGCTACGCCACGTGTCTCAGCTTACTAATACCCAACACCCAATACTCAGCACAAAACCGCCATTCACCCAGCAACCCCCTGCGGTGAAAAACTACCCCCATTTCACCTGAGAAAAACCCACCGCAAAATGGAGGCAAAACAACAAACTATATAGCCTTTATTTGGTTTGGAAATTTGCATTGGGTTTTCCGCGAATACATAATTAATTCACAACTAACACACTTATGCGATCGTACACCCATTAATCATATATAATTGACCCACTAAAGGACCTTCATCGCGCACTGATTGTTGACTGTTGTTACTGTTGTTGTCTGTTGTATTTAACCCGAATTCATTTGCATTCATTAAACGCCTGTTTTTCGTTCATTCTTTCTATGTTCTTCATTGTGTTCTGTTTTGATATTAAGTTTAGGTTTTATTTTAGTTGATATATGTTTAGTTGTATATGTATGTGAGTGTTTTCTGGTATTTGTTATTATTTTATAAATTGAAAAGATATTAAAACCAAAATTTTTGCCTTTAATAAAGTCCTTATATTTATAACTATATTTAACTATAAAAAAAAGAGGAAAAAATGTCTAAATAACAGATTTTTTAATACGTTTTATTTTTATTTTTAACTATTTTCAAACAAAATTTTATTGACATAAATCGCAGAGATGGATTTCTGAAACATAGTTAGACTTATTATTTATTTATTTTATAATTTGTTTATAAAATATTATTTTAAGCAGTGATTTATACTTGGTTCGTCATATAAATATGTGTTTTCCTAACTCATCATCAACATTTCACTCTTCCTACTGAATAAAAAAAAGAAATAATAATAATACAAAATAGTTTCAATGATTTTTTTTTTTGTTGCTCTCTATGATTATGATTTTTCTTCTTATTTTTATGTTTTTTTTTCTCCATTTCTCTTCTTTACTTTACGGCTTAATTTTAGAGGAAACTAATTCCTCAAAAATCAACAACAGCAACCACAACAACACCCCACAAAAGCAACAGCAACAACAGCAGTTGCTTGCCAATGGCAGAACAACAACAACAACAACAACAACATCAGTAGCAGCAACAACAAAATTGATGGGAAACTCTACTTCGCCCTCTTCTTCCGCGTCCTCAAATAATTCACCCAACACCTATACCCTCAAACCCCAAACCGCAGCTGACTCTGCCTTCCTGCTGCTGGCAACAGCAGCAACTGCGACTGCAACTGCAACTGCAAGTGCAACAGCAGCAGCAGCAGCAACAGCAGCGGCGGGAGCAGCAGCAACACCTGCATCCTGCAAGCCTGCCAAGCACAAATTGGGTCCCATCGAAGGGATTCGAAGCAATGATCTGTTGCTAACGGATGTGGAGGATGTCCTGCTGCAAAACCATAAAAGAATCTGCTTAGATGCGCTTGGCGGCAAATCGGGCATACCCCTCACACCGCCGCCCATGTCCACGCGCAAAGTGACGGACACGAATCAGCGGATCCGCTCGTACTCACTCTCCTCCCATAAATTCACAGCCCCCAGCCAGGAGCAGCAGTATCACCATGCCAGCCATCAGCATATCCAGTCCCATATCGTTAGGGGTGCGTCAGGAGGAAATGGAGCCGGAGCTGGTGCCAATGGTGGGGCGACGGCATCCTTGAACACCTACCGTCAACAGCTTAGCAACATTTTGGTGGCCAACGAATTAGCCGCTGCCTCAGCGATACGCGTAGGTGGCGGCTCAGGAGCGGCCTCAGGTGCGGGAGCGATGGCCTTGAATGTCTCATCCTCGGCGCCGACGCAAGGATCTCAGCTAATACAGGTACATACAGCTAGCACAGGACGCAGACGCACCACCAGTTCCAACAGCAACGGGTGAGTCTATTGGGAAAATCATTGTATATTCCCTAAAAAAATAATTGCATATTTATTCAACTTGCTTTGGTATTTGTCACTTGTTTCAGAGCGGGCACTCGAGAGGTGCACAACAAGCTTGAGAAGGAGCGGCGCGCTCAGCTAAAAGAGTGCTACGACCAACTCAAAAAGGAGCTGCCCATAAGGGAAGAGGACAGAAAGAAGACCTCCAACTTGACAATACTCGATTCGGCCTACCAATATGTCATAGTTAGTACTAACTTTGTCTATACTTCCATGAGGAAATACTAACTATTACTATTATTATTTCATTTGCCAACTTTCAGCAACTGTCGCTGCGGAAAAGCGAACAGGAAGCGGAGGTGGAGCAGCTGGCGAAGCAAAAGATTGAGCTGCAGAAGCAATTGAACAATTTGAGAAGGGATACGACGGCCAGCGATCAGCAGAAACAGCAGAGCATTCCACAGGCCGAAAAAGGTATTGTGAATCGAGTTTTGCATAAATTCCACAAGTGTGTGTTGCCCTTGAATTGTGCAATTTCTGGTTCTAATCTAGGACTTTCTTCCCTCTCTCTCTCTCTCTCTTTACCACAGCCACAAGCACATCATCCGCATCAGCAACAGCAGCAGCAGCAGCCAGTGGCCGCAATGGAACCACAATTCTGTTTGATGCCACCACCGCCTGTGGCGTCACTGGGGTGAGAAGATGTGTCCAAAAATAGGGAATGTCAACTGCATTATCAGATATATAGCAGAGAAAACTCTATATTAATTAAAGAAATATTTATTATACGATGTTTTCATTCCCTAAAATTAATATAAATAATAATTAATTAAGTACTTATAATTATTTTCCTTTTTTTTCTGACAGCTAACAACTGTGATAAGCAAAACCAATGCCCCACCAGCAGCTGCTGCCAGTAAACACAACGCAGGAGGAGCCACCACCACACTTACTCCGGCCATGGGTATCATGACAATTAAGAATGGGAACAGCAGCATACTGGCAATCTCACCCACTGCGGTGGCAATCCAACAGCAACAGCAGCAGCAGCCACTTCACCACAGCAACAGCAGCCCGGCGGGCAGTCCCAGCAGCAATGCATCCTCTGCAGCAGTTGCACCGGGCGCGGGAGCAACCACAATTATTCGTGGCTCGCCCACACCCTCGACGCCATCGCCGTCACCTAGCTCCTCGTCCAGCGGAGTCTCGTCATCGGCCTCATTTATGGGCTCATCCTCATCCTCCTCATCCTCGTCATCGTCGTCGTCCAGCTCGTCGTCCAGCTCATCATCCAGTTCGTCGTCACCCACGCAACAGAATACGCCGGCGGCCACAGCCAATGCACATTTAGTGGGTGCCCGAAGCGTTGGTCTCAAGTTCCATGGCGCCAGTGTGGTTGGACCATCAGCCAGCGGCTTGAATGGCGCCGCTTCCATAGTGGCCGCTGCTGTGCCCACTGGTGGATCAGCGAATGGTGAGTTTTTATTCAAAACAAAGCTAAAGAAATATAAAAAAGAAAAATGATTTCATATAAAATTTTTAAATTGTAAATATCATGTATAATTTTTAATTTAATTACAATATTTTGTGTATTTGTAAATAGGTTTCCATCAGGCGGACAAGGATAATCGGAACTACAATTTCCTCATGATCAGTGCTGGAACAACGGCGCAGTGAATCGACAGAAAAAAAAACAACAACAAAAACTTACAACATAACAAACTGCAACAAATGCGCCTCTATAACAATAACAAAAACAGCAACAACAAAAACTGAATTGTGTGCAACGGCTCCCACCTCGAGAAGAACCTAAAACAAGTGTATATTCATTCGCTGTTCTCGAACTCTTTAAATTTGTTTTTTTCTTAAACGAAAACAAAAACAACAACAAGAAAAAACCAACTATTTTTCATACTTGGCACACATAAAAAACAAAACAAAAACTGTCAACAACAACACAAATGAGCGCTGTAGTTTTTACATAAATTAACAACAACAGCAACAAACAGCAAAACAGTTCCGCCCAACACGTAGCATCGATTTTAAAAATCAACAAAAAACAAAGATTACAAAAATCCACAAAAGGAAGGGAAAATTATTTTTTTGAATAAATCATTTTATATAGAAGCAACCAACACCGATAGAAAATTCACCAACAGCCAGAGTAAGAGCAATAAACAAAAAAAAGCAAAAACAGACCAACTATTAAAATGATGAAATAATATCAAAGCAGCGGATATCAAGAAGCTTTCAAAAACAACAACAACAACAACAACAACAGCTACAAAAACCGACAACAACACCAACAACATTTTCAACAAGCAAATTTACAACATAACACCACACAGGCGCCTCCACAACATAACACATAGAATGTTGTATGGTAATTGTAATTGTATTACTTTAAAGTAAAAAGCAACAACAACAAAAAATCAACAACTAAAAAGTAAATCATATATAGGAATTAGCACACACTTAAATGTAAAGTAAAGTAAGCGAAAAGAAAAACAAGAGCATAAAAGGAAAGAAAACAAAAAACCAAAATGCGCTGTTGTAACAGAAACCACCAATGGGTAACGCTTTATAAATATACACAACATATATATATATATATATATATATATATATATATATATATATCCATATATATATATATGTATACCTAAATCTAAACTCTAAAAAGAGAGAGAAAAATATAATTCTAAATTTTTTAAATGTAAAAGAACAATGATTTTCCAAAATTAATGTGTAACAAAAAAAAAGAAGATTTATCTACTATCATCTACAACATGTGGTAACATATATATATATATATATATATATCTTAACGAGAATATGTATGTGGCCATATTTTCCTGACCAACAGCAGAAACGCAAGCAGAACCAGCCAAAAAAATATCTTTTTACTACCGCAAAATGGCAAAAACCAACAAGTTCTCTTCTTCATTCTTATGTCCATCGGGGAAGATGGGCAACTTTGCCTTTAATAATTTGAAAATGATGTCATGAAAGCAACTAATTGGGGTAATCAAATTTCTGATTAGCCAAAGTTGCCCTGCTAACACATGATGGACATCTTCTCCAAGAAATTTGTAAAGTAATACATATAGCTAAAATCAAATCAATAACACTATAAACAGATTAGAGTGTTGCATGTATGTATTTATGTGTGTGTGCCCAACAAAAAACAAACAAACAAACAACAACATTAACCATTAGAAGAAATTAAGAGCGAGAGAAAGAGATGGAGAAATGTTGGATCTCTGTGAAAACCCATTTGAATTATAGCCCAATTCCATGGGCACTTTTTTCACATTCATATTCAATGAACAAAGTGCATATTCCATGATAAAACGAAATTAATTGAGAGAGAAAGCAAATATAATTTAAAAAAAAATTGTTTAAAAATATTTTGTTATAGAAAACCCAAAAATGCCAGGTCTATTATAGCAGTTCAAAATTTAAGTTATGATTTTTTATATTAAATTATATAGTTTAATTTATAAACTTGCAGTTGAAAAATGAGTTTGTTTTTTCATTTTATTTGAAATTTAACTTTTTTGGGTACCTGGTTTCCATGTATCGCCATGATATTGGACTTTTCCTATCCTTATACAACCCGGAAACCAAGTATATCCAAACCTAGTTTCTTGTTTTATACATTTTTTGTAGTTTAATTTGTTAATCAATTTAAAAGAAAACCCCCCGACAAACTGTGCAATTTAGTAATTTGAATAGAAAATGTGAGAAAAAAAAAAGTGTACCAATAGAATTGGGCTCACAAATACCCAATTTGAATTAGCGATATGTAAAAGATATAAACCAAACATCGTCGTAGACAATGTATGTGTAATAGTGCAATAAGCTAAACAATACTTATAACCCCCTCCAAGCCCAACTTCAATTAACCCCCAAATGTGTTACAGAATTTTTGTTTGTTTAAAGTTAGATCTCCAATTTTGGTTCTTTATTTCGTTTCCATTTTCCATGGGAAAGACACATGCATGCGTATAAGACATATAAACATACACTTAAATAATAATCAGTAGTAGTGCGTTTCATAGCCATAAGGCGGCAGTTGAAATATGATAATTGTGTGTTTGGGGTAAAACTATTTCTTGCCTTAACGCCATTGAACGTACTGTAACTGGTACGATGGACGATAAATGGAATCAAAGTCAAAAATAGAATCATTTTACGGTAGTAAAAATTAGAAATTACAATTTGATACCGACAGACACAAACACACATACACATACATTAATGAACCGTGTTTAAAACAGCTTAATATAAAAACAAAAAAAATATATATATACTAGAAACAATATTAAAAAAACAGATTTAGAATTACAAAAAATGAAAACCAACAAAAAAAAAACAAATTGTCGATTTAAGAGCAAAACTGAAAAAAATGAAAATGTAGAGGAAAATAAAAACAACAACAACAAAAGCAGTAAAACAAACAAAACTAAATGTTATATTTTGGAGCATTTTTTTCAATATGTATATGTGTTAGAATAGATATATATATATATATATATATATATGGAAACAAAGAAGGAGAAGAATTGATAAAAGTATTAGGAAAAACGATATCTCTTGAACAATAAAGATGGACAGAGACAGTGGCAGAAAATCAGAAAAAGAGAGAGAAAGCGATATACAAATATTGTCTCTTCTTTCTTCTACACTCCTCTTAAATTTGCAAGTTTTTTACCGTCGGAGGGAGGCAATGAATATAAAACTATATATCATCTATCTATATATATAAATATATATATTTGTATACACCAACTAAAGAAAGAACAAGACAGAAAGAAAGAGATGGAAAGAGAGTGGAAAATGTTCGATATATTTTGTAAATACTTTAAACGGAGAGGTTTTTTTTAGTTTTTTGCTGCACGAAATTTGTGTTTTTTTTTTTAATGAACATCAAATCAAAAGTTATTTTCACACAAGAAAAACTTTATAAACAAATACGCAATGCAAAACATGTAATCATTTAAAAAAAGTCCAAATCTAATGAAAACCTAGAGAATATAGAAAATATTTGTGTGTGGATTGTGCGTGTAAATGTGTTTGAATGTCAAAATGCTTTAGTCACATAAGCCGAAAGAGAAGATTGAACTTTGATATAATATATATATTTAAATTTAAAATATTTGCCTGTCCTTTCACTCTTGATTTCCTGCTACTAACCCATAAAAGCAAATGTAAAAAATAATAATAGAATATCGAAAGCAGCAGCAGCAACACACTTTTGAAGAATAAAAATTAACTCTTAATTAGTTTTATGTTCCGTAATTTATGTTTCTTTTTTTTTCTTCTTTATTAATTTGTAAAACTGGAAAATATGTTTCCTTGCTTTTTTTTTAATTATTCTTGTAAGTAGGCAAGTAATGGAAATTGAATATAATACTTTTCGTGTAATTTGTACTAAAAGCCAGCAAAGTAGAAACAAGAAACGTTTCATTTCATTATTTTTAAGCTTAACTTAACTAATTCTTAGTTTTTAAATAACTATTTTCTTTAAGTTGAAAACAAATCGGGAGTATTGCAAATTATAATTATCATTAAAATATATATGATATAAAAATAAACATAACAAAGGCGAAAACTCAACAAGAAAATTCTATTTATAGGAGAAGCAGACAACAAAACACAACAAGAAAAGATTATAACAAAAAACAATAAACATTTTCAAATGCGAAAACAAAAACGAGAGAAAACCATTTAGCTGTAAATGTAACATGTAAAATTAATTTTAAATAAAATGCATACAAAAAAAAGAACAAAAAAAAACAAACACAAACAAAATCTAAAAAGTATGGCAAGAAATAATACAAATTATATATGAGGAATGATATATATATATATATTATATAAATGTAAATGTGTAAAGAAAACAGAAAATGCAAACAAAAAAAAAACAAACAAAATAATAAAAAAAAAAAATGATTTCAAAGAAAATATTTAAATGCGCATTTTTTATTTCTCAAAATGGAATTAAAAGTTAATAATATAATCTTACCAAACTCTGGAACGGATTATTTATAGGGTTTTATAGGGATTGCAACAAAACCCATGAATGTTGCTCAACATGTACATACATGGCAACATTTGTTTCTAGTTGAGTGTTGGGCAATATGTTCCTAGCAGTTGTCAACATTTTGTTCATTGGCAACATTACCTTTTGTCTTCTGATCTATTATAATTAAGGTTTTTCATAATCATATTCGTTAAGAACAATTATATTTCAGGGTTCATCCGTATATTTAAAATAACTACAAAAGTACTCTATGTATTGCCGTTTATTAATTTAGTCCAAAAGATGCAAAAATCATGGTCCCAATTGTTATTTACTAGTAAAAATGCTTTGGCGGGTTTCAAGCACAGAAGGCAGCAGATGAAGAACAAAGCACAAAGCACAAATCAGCGTAGTGCTCAAAAGTATGCTATGATTTGAACAATACGCTTTTTGACCGAAAGATGACGTTCTGAAAGATGTCAAAAGTACCCCATTCTAACGAATGTCTGATGAGGTCATTGAAAGAGCGAGTGCTGAAATGAGAGAAATGAAAATGAAAATAAAACAAGAAATAAAGCTAACTTTGGCCAGCCAAAGTTTGTATACCCTTGCAGGTAACAATTCAAATATATCATAACTAAGCCAAAAATGCATTAATTTCGATTCGGAAAGCAGTTTTGTGTTAGTTTTTATTAATTTAAAAAAACTGCATACCAAATTTAAAATTTTAAGAAATCAAAATTTTTGGCCATTTTTGCTCATTTTAATGATGTAACCCCTTATCAAATTTCGCAAAAATGGCCAAAAAATCGATTTCTTCCTGACATATCTAGAAAGATTCCCCTGTTGATGCTGATCAAGAATATATATGGTTTATGGGGTCGAAAATGATTCCTTCACTTAGAAAAATATTATTTTGTATTATAAAATCTGATTTTTACCATATATGTACCCTTGCAGGGTATTATAATTTCAGTCAGAAGACTGCAACGCAGTGAAGGAGACGTTTCCGACCTTATAAAGTATATATATTCTTGATCAGCATCAACAGCCGAGTCGATCTAGCCATGTCCGTCTGTCCGTCTGTCCGTCCGTCTGTCCGTCTGTCCGTTTCTACGCAAACTAGTCCCTCAGTTTTAAAGCTATCTGAATGAAACTTTGCATATAGTCTTCTATATACTCTTACTGCTATATATGTCGGAACGGGCCGGATCGGACGACTATATCATATAGCTGCCATACAAATGTCGGAAAGGTCCCTGCAAGGGTATAATATTAGGATTTAAGTCTGGTTTTTTTCCTACAACCACAGCAGCAAAATGAGTCACAACATGATGTTGGATATAATTTTCAAGTACAAATTGATAACTACCAAATCCATATCTTAGCCAAAAATGCATTAAATACAATTCGGAAAACTGCTTTGAGTTCGTTTTTTAGAAGGTTAATAAAACTACGCAGTTTTACTTGAAGTAAGGTGTAATCCTTTTCACTTATTCAGTTTAATAAAGATTCAAGAATTCCTTAAATAAAACAATCAAAGATGTCTTGGTTTTTGTTGGTTTTTATTTCTCATATTTTTCGGTTTGTTTCTGAGTCAAGCTAAACGTACACTCAATCGCTCAATCGCCATTATTTAACTCTCATAATAATAATTTATATTTATATATATATATATATTTATATAAAAAATGCGGGTTGTTGCACAATTTTATTTTAGATACATGTGTGTGTGTGTGTTTGTGTTTTGTGTTTCAGCGCTTTTTAGTGAATGAGAAGGAAAATGTTCAAGTATTTCAGGCTGTGACGAGGCATTGTATCTTTATGTTTTAGCAACAATTTTCAAAAGAAAGGAGAAAGGAGAGGAAAATGCTTGATACAAAAGTTGAACCGTCCATCAATTGATTGCGTACATAACTTATATATATAATAATAATAATAATAATTATCATAATAATAGCTTAAACAGTACAATACAGAATGCAGTTTTACAAAAGTAAACATTAGACAGAGGCAAATCAATCAGGATAAATCGGTCCTAAATATATAGTGGATGTGTTTCAGCATGAAAAAATAACCATTGGTAAAGGGGAAAGCTCGTAAGTTTTGCTTTTTTTTTCCCCCATTTTTATTTTTTTTTTCTTTTTAAATGTTTTTCTAACTTTACTCATTATTTATTTGCTTTCAGTTTAGAAAATTACAAAAATTGCATTAAAAATTTGTTTTTCGATTCACACTTCTCGTTTATAATTAATAAATGGAGATATTTTTGTTATCGCTTTTCTTTTTGTTTATATTTTCTAGCATTTTAAGTGTTCCATTTTATGTTTATATACTTTAAACTATTTCGTATATATGTAAATATACATACATATATTTAGATGTATTTATAAAAAGCTTTTCTGTGTGGTTTCTTGTTGTTTGTTTTGTATATTTTGCATTTTTCTATTTAAGTTTAAATTATTACAAAAAAAAAAAAAAAAAAAAAACGTCATATGCATATTTTTTAATTTTAAGGAGAGAAATATATTTGTTGCATTTAATATTAAATTGCATACGAATTTTGTAAATAAATTTACGCTTTAGTTTATATATTTTTTGAAAGGGCAACACATAATCGCAACAAAACAAAAAAGACGACAGAATTTATGTGGTGTTTGGGTGTACGCTTTTCTTCGGACATTTTGTTGCCTAAATAATATATATATTTATTTATATTACAATGCAATTTTTACTTCTTGGATTAAATGTGTAAGCTTACGAGTTTTTTGGGTGGCAAATAAACGTAATTTTGATATTCTCTCTGCTTGTGTGTATGATCTGGCGCACTCCAAAGTTAATTATTTATTAACATTTCGTACTCTTCCTTCTTTCCTTGTTTGTTTTTTTGTTTTTTTATTTTATTTTTTTGTTTGTTGTTTTTTTTCTCTTTTCTTTTATTTTATAATCATTTGTTTGTTGTTATCCGTGTGGCCGTTGTTGTCGCAAGATGTTTGCTGCTGCAGTTGGTTATAGTGGCTGTTGTGATTCTTGTTTTTGTTCTTGTTTCTGTTCCATCCTACAGCAGTTGGCAGCAATGAGAATTGGGCTTCGGCGGCTGTTTCACGTCCGTCTGACGTTGTTTTTTACGCGATGAAATATCCCTGATTAGATCATAAAATACCTGAATAAATAAATGAGATTTATTAATATCGAATTGAACGATTTCATTTTTAAAAATTTCATTTGTTAATATTTTTTTTTTTGTGGGGTGGTTAAATTGGTTTTTCTATAAACGTACAAATAACGTTTTGGAAAAATTGCTAAACCAAAGTAGAAAAAGGTGACCAAAAGCGTATAGAAAAAAAGAGGAAAAACAGTGTTTGTCATAGGTAATGCTTTAAAAAAATATATTAAATAAGTAAAGTAAATTATTTATGGCATCAAAATTAATGGAAAATATTGATCTTTTCAAATAATATTGTAATTTTATTTATTGTTTAATGGAACTTATGAAACACACTGTTTTCCCTATGTACTTGTATATATACACTAAAAGAAAATACATTTTTGTCTAGATATAACAACCAATCCAAATAATTTAGTAAAGATATTTTGGGTAACAATTCTGACATTTCACATAATAATTAAATAAATAGTTGTAAAATTGTTTTAAATGAACTCCCACGTTATGTGTATGTGGTTTTTGTGTGTATCGGAGTGTATGTACAGCGTGTGTGTGTTAGTGTCAGCTTCAAAAAAGTTGTTTCAGCAAAGTCTTAGCTTCTTTCATGTTTTAAAAAAATGTATTTCTGGAAAAGCTCAAATATTAAATTCTTAATTTTTATTAAATATTTAAAAAAAAAACTTCTCTGATATTGGCTACCTTTATTTGCTAGATATAAGTTTTAATTGTTTTGACTGATCAACCTCAAAAATGCTTTAAGCAGCTAACATAGTTTGTGGCTGAATTCTTACTTGGGAATTTTAAGCCCTCAGGTCATGAATTTCTTATTCAAATTTCTAATGGCGTCTGGCTTTATATATTGTGAATTTTTTATAATTACAATTACAACAGTCCGCAAGAAAACCCATTCAGTAAAAAAGTCAGCCACATTACCCTTGTCAAAAAAAAATAATTTATAATTTTATTACATATTATATATTTATTATTCACCTTACAAAATAGTTATATCAGTAAAAATAACTATTTTGTACCTAGAACAATCTCCCTAGCAAAATTCGTTAAATAAAAAACTGCAAAATCAAACCGAACGAAATAAATTAACAAAAATATAAAGAACCAAACCAAAATCAGAGTTAGTAGCAAAAAAGATAAATATATATAAATTCATATATTTATAAATATAAAAAGAGAGAGAGAGAGAGGAAAAGAGTAGTGCCAAAGCAATTAAAAGCTCCAGTTCAAGCTAGAAATAAGGGTTAAAGCAACTGGGGGGGGTTAGATTTGGAGTGTCTACGGGTTAAGTGTTCATACGGGATTTATTTATATATATATATATTTTGTTGTAGATCGTATTTTGGATATGGTGAAAGTTGTTGTATGCACCTAATGCCTAAAGTAGGGTACACTTAAGTCTCCGCTTCTTGCATCTATCTTTAGCACGCCCGCTCGTGGCTTTCGAATCTTCAGTTTTTCGTGACCTTATTTCGCGCATCAAATCAAAAAATACCTGTAAAATTGTGGATTGGGAATTAAGTCAGAATATACACAGTGTCAGCATCAGAGTCTTAGTCATAATCAATAATCACTTATCGTTAATTTAACTCAAATTTAGTTTACAAATCATAAAAAAACAATTAGGAAACGCATACAACAACTACGGCTTGTGTGCGCTTCAGAGAGACAGAGAGAAAAGACTTCTTGGGCGTTTTTTTTTTTAATATTATCAATAGCAAAAAACACAAAAAAAGAAAACAAAAAAAAAACATAAATAAATAGCAAAATAATGTATCTTTGAAAGGGCAACAACATTAAAAGCATTATAAATTAGGCTACGGCAGTGCTTTTATTTTGTAGCCAAGTGTAGGGTTATGTGTATCTGTGTATGTTGGGTTTGAGGGTTCCATCTTCGTGAGGAGATACTTCTAAGCTTTCTTATTTAAAAAAAAACCCTCAAGACGTTGCTTAGCTAAATGCTAAATTATTTCTTAATGCTTTGAGTATAATATTCATTAAAAATCTAGTAATATTTTGTTTATAAAACCTGTTTTTTTTTTTGTGGTTTTTCATTATCATTTGTGAAAATTTGAAATGTTGTCCTTGATTTAAGTGTATTAATCATAAAAAACAGACTAAAAGTATTTATAGAGAAGAAAGAACTCAAACATATGTAGTTTAAGCATTTCGAGCAACCAAAAAATAATTTCCTAGATTTATTTGTGAATTTCCTGTACTTAACCCGAAAATATTTATTAAAATCAAACTTTTTTTTTTTTAATATTTAACAAAATGCATTTTTCCCCTTTTTTTGTGTTTTCCTAATCAAACATTTCAAGATTCTGAAATTAATCAAAATACAAGTATAGCCTGCAGGACAAAAAAAAAATAATAATAAAAACTTGTTACCGCTGCAAAATAAACAATAAACAATTGCATAAAGTATTTATGAAATTTCATAAAACGCTAATGTGCAGTAGTTGTTTGTTTTCTGCCAATTACAAAATTCTGTTGTGTGAATATTAGAGTTTGAAAAGAATCGATGTTTTTTGTTTAAAATAATCGATGGTAAACCAATTAAAAATCGATAAACATCGATGTTTTTGTAGCTCTAGTGTTTAACTATAATAATTTCTCTGTTTTTGGGGAAAATTGAACTTTTCCGATGACAAAAGAAATGGAAATCCTATTGAAATGGATATTTTTGGGTAGCACAGACTAACCTTGTCGACATTTTCGCGCGTTTTTGCCGAGGTCTCCACATAGGGCACCGCCCACTGCTGTGCCCTCGATTGGCATTCGCTTAGCGGCACCTTTCGCTTGTCATTCAGATCGCATTTGTTGCCCACCAGCAGGAACGGTATGCTCTCATCATTCTTCACCCGCAATATTTGTTCTCTGTAAAATAAAGAGTGTGGAAAATTAATATATAAGCAGAAGAATAGGGAGAAGAAAGATCTGTAGAGCTGTTATCCATCGATAATAGAATAAACAATATAGTTAAATATAATAGAAACAAGGTTGTTGTCCCATGTTCTTAGATTGATTAATTGTTATCTCTTAAATATTAGGTAGTTCATTAGCTATCTCACACGGTCAGCTTGCTTGACTCAAAAATAATCGCTAATTGCTTCAACAAATTAAATCGAAAATGCCGGAAAAGGGCTTATAGATAGTAAGCGCTTATCAAAAAGGTGACTCAGTTCGTGTGTCACTTCGAGTCAATAAACAGGTAGAGAAATAGACCAAAGAATAAACATAAATATTAGCTTGTCCATCACCTAGAAATGTCCTAGTCGCCCTTTTACTAATAGAATTTTCCTAAACGAGTTTTTCCTGTGTATTTGTTCGTTTAGTTTTGTTTGTCCAAAGGAAAAATATAAAGGGATGAATATAAATACAAATTTGACCTTAAAGAAGTAGAAAAACTTTCATTAAGGCATAAACTCTCCCACTTCTAAATTTAATTAGGTCCGACGATTAATTAGAAATCCCTTCACGACTTAAGAAACGTTTTAAATTAATAAAATCGCAAAGAATCTTTAAACAATTAAGTTCTGCTGAGTCAAAGGCTCGCCATATATGAGTAAAGATTTATTACGCATACTTATGCCACCAACCCAAACTTAAGACTTGTGTAGACTAATTAGCAGAGCCAAATAATAAAAAGAAAAATGAGAAAATGCCAACACTAGATGGAGAAAAACATAATGCTTGTGTGTGAGCAAGTAAACCGCGACACTTGTCAGCTTTGGGGACAAACAAACCGGCGACATGAGAGAACCCTCGAAAGACCCACCAAGGAAACAGAAGGTAGAGGGTAGACACACCGCTTGACACACTCACCTGAATTCCTGGGTAGCCTGGAAGCTTTCATCGTCTGTGATGGAGAAGACGCAAAGGAATCCCTCGCCGCTGCGAAAATAATTATCTCTGATGGCGGCATAATCCTCCTGGCCGGCCGTATCCAATATATCTATTTGTACTTCCTCGCCATCTAGCACAACCTGCAAAAATAATTAATAAATTTAATAATTATCGATATATAAATAGAATATAATTATTGAATTATCGTAAACCTTGATGTTTCACACAGAATAAAATACCATTTAACGTTTAAATATATTAAAACGAATATCGATTTATTGCAACCTTAAAATATCGATTTATACAACGATATCGAAAATATCGTGAACTTTACTTTAATAATATCGATTTATTGCAACGTTAAACGATCGATATATCAAATACCGATAAAGTATTGATACCAAACAAAATTTTAAAAATCAAATATACGAAATGTTCAGTTTTTGGAATCTTTAATTAAACATAATATGTATTATTTTATGTAATAAGCTCTGGAGATAGTTTTACAGTATCGTATAGATTCCATCAAATACCGTCCTCCTATTTTTCACGTCTTTAAAATGCTTTTCTCTATGTCAATTTTGATACAAAAAAATGATTCATAATTATTCTATCGCTAAAACGCACCTTTTTCCTATAGCTATCGGCCTTGGTGGGCTCATAGTCCTCGACAAACTCATCGTACATAAACTGCAATGTGAGGGCGGATTTTCCTACGCCGCCGCTGCCCACCATAATGACCTTGTGGAGCGCCGGTCCGGCTGTCGGCTTCTTGCTCATGTTGATGGCGGGATCTGCTCTGCTCGCTCACTCGATCGACTGCAAAAGAATACAAAGAAAAAACCACAAAACAATATAGAGAAAATTTTAAACAAATAAATGGGTAAATTCTGGTGCTTCCTGTTTGTTGTATGGGTATGTATAAATATTTATGCAAAACATTACGCATAAGGCTGCCGTGGCCAAAGGTACGAAGCCAAAGCCATGATCGCCAGATCGAGGGATAATATCCCCAAAAAAAAAAAAGCTAGCCGTTGTCAACTTGGTAGTCAGCTCACGGGTTTGTCGATTGTTTCTGTCGGGACTTTTCCTACCGTTACATAGCAAATGGCGGCAGAAAAGCTGCCAGTGACTCGCCATTGTTGTTGTTTCTACCTTTCGATTGTACTTTTTACCCTTTCAATGATCTGACATTAGGTACAGTAGATTCTCTCTTTATTTGAAATAATATAAATTGAAATATTGAAAACATAAATAATTTCTAAATTGAGGAAATGCCTAGGCAAAATACTAGAAACATTTCTATTATAATTAGAGATGAGAGAAAATATCGATATACCGATAGTGTATTGATATATTTGACGCAATTTGACATTTTAATGACGCAATCGATATTCTATCTATCTATCTGACGGAAAAATCAACATTTATCGGTTATTTCGATAATTTAGCGATATTTTTTTATATTAAAAAATCGATATATCAGAGTTTCAGGTAATTTCAGACTTAAAAATTCCCTTCTTGACGTATATTAAAAACCAAGCCAAGTTAATTTATTCATTCCTAGAGTATTCCCCATATTCGGCTTCAGTTTTGGTATTGTGCGCCTTTCTGGCTTGGTTTTCTTTTTTTGCTTTGTTCGTGTCGCAAATGAAGCATAAAATGAAAAGTTCAATGAACTATTTACACATGCCAAAGGGGGCAAAAACAGCAACATAAAGACGTACGCGATATAGCAGCATAATGCAGGCCGCCGGGCCAAAATGACTATTGAGGCCCCCTCTTCCTTCCCCCTTGGTTGCTGTTTGCAATTAGCCTTTTGTGACCATATATATATATTCCCTCTGCCCCTGCATCATCATCGATTGCCATAAATTAAGGCATTGAAAACAACGCATTGAGGAAACACATATTGTACGTATGTTACATATGGTATATATATACGGGCTAGATGGAAAGAGGGGCCACGTGGCCATCTGGCTTTCGGCCAACTTCAGCAGAGTTAAAGCATTGCTTTGAGCCATTTTCCTAGCATAGCCTGGCGAACTTTCTGATGCAAGGTTACTTTAGGATTTCAATTACCCAAGATAACCGCTAAAATGTACAGACATGACAAAAGACCCTGCAAAATAATATACTGCTGTCACCACATTAACCGCCACAACATTAGAAACGTTGCGAAATAAATTGCAATGGTTATTGTTCGAAATACACACACGACAAGTAAGAAAGATAGGGTAAAGTGTGGCTGATACCCGATAGCCAAAGCTTAACTCAATGATATTTAATTAATTAATTTTTTTTTTAAGAATGTTGTCCCCCAAAGTTGGCTACATCAAACTCCTGAGAGCTAAGATCTAAAGAGGCTTTTGTCCAAATCGATTCGCCTGGTGTTGCTTACCAAAAAGAAATACCCTTTGTAGGGTTGAAAAGGCTTGCTTTAGTTGGTTTCTTTGAATTTTTTCCTATGTTAAACATTTGCCGCCTGTCTTTCAATTTGACGCTGTCTGGAAACGTTGAAAGAACCTTCAATGGAAATTGGGCAGCGGCCACACTGCGTATGAGTAATCAACTTAATGTTGCAAACTCAAACGCGGGAAAAGCGTCAAGGAAAAAAGAGCGGGTTATAAAAATAAAAACACTTCCCACACCCAGTTTTGAGTCAATTGAATTGTCAAGGCGGTCAACACAATATAACAACAACAAGGCCTGGAAATAACGGCAGATAACTTGTTCAATTGCATATTACTCATACGCAACGTTGCGCAGGCTTGACAACACTAAAAAATATAATAGAAAAAGCCAGGCATACAACAAATACCATGTTGTAAAATTCCTTTTTAAATTTAAAATTAATATTTTGAAGTTGAATTATTTGTTAAATACTACAAATAGTACAAATAGAAGTCTATAAAAAAAAATCAAAAAAAAAAAAAAAAAAACGTATTTACTGTTTTTGTGACCTACTCTGACTGCAGCATAATATAAAAGAATCAGGCCATGATGATTTGGTTCTAAAAACAAGGAATATGGCATTCCCAAACACTGCTATAAGGCATTATTGCTGCCTCAAATGAAAAATATGGTTGTCGTTGCGATTTGAAAGCTTTTTTTTTTATTTGCAGTACGAAAAAGTTGGCTGGAAGCTAACCATCGGGTTAAACGAGATATGGCTCCCATAGCCAGCGGTTACCGGTTTTTGAAAAACTAATTGGGAATCCGAGAAATCGCGTGAACCGCTAAATAAAAAGAAAACAGAAAAATCAACAAGAAATTTAGGTTTCCCCTTGATTTTATGTTTTTTACTATTTTTTTATTTTATTTTAAATTTCTTTTAATGATAATTTATTTAAAACAATTTACTTTTTTTTGCAGAACCTCTAAATCGAGCACAAAATTCCCACAGAAATATGCATATGTATTTTTTCAAAAGCCAAAATCGTAAAAACCAATTTAATTGTTATAATAAAAAAAAAGCAAACAAAGCAGAACTGAATTTTTAGTTTTTATCGCTTTGGTACAATTCAAATCGCTGGCCGCATAAAAAATAATTTCCCTCTAATTAAGGCTGGCGAAAAATAGAACAACAGGCGAAACAAGGAAAGAAAAAAGAACTTAAATCGACATCGGTAAAAGAGACAGAAATTGAGCTATCCAAAAAATTTCCAACTCGATTTGTTTGCGGAAATACGGGCAGAAAATAAAACAACTAAGGTACGTTTCAGGCGCAATGACGTCATTATCTAGTTGTTTATCCTAGAAATATGTGCCCCCCCCGAAATTGTGCATAAATTAGCCAAAGTTCTTGTTTTGAGTTTTGAACAAAAACGGAATGTCGGATTCCCTATTTGGTGGGTTAAAATTAAGAGTTCTTGTGTCTGCCTTTCTTTTTTTTTTTAATTTCTTAAAATTATTTATACATAATTAAATATTTTAAATAATATTGAATTACTTAAATAAACGATTTAAAATTTCATTAATTATTAGAATATTTATTTTAGATCATTAAATTTAGGAAATTTATAAAATGTTTATTATTTATTATTTAAAATATATATATTATATATTATTTATAATTTTGAATATATAAATATATTATAAATTATTTATTATTTATAATTCTATTTATGTAACTGTTCAATTTTTTGTTTTTGTTCTTCTCGTCGATTTGTCATTGTCAAAAAATTGTATTTCTTATAGATTATATTTCTAAGGTTTGCAGATAATTTCTCTTCCTTTATTTTTTGTGATCTTCAATTCCCGGAAGCCTTTGAACCAAGCATTTGTCTTTTAATACATCAAAGCAATATGTATTTAGAATACTTTGGTTTAAGGTAATTTTCGCCCAATCATTTTTTGCTTTTCTTTGTCGTAATAATAACAATATATAAGCAAACAAGGCTAGATCGTCTTGTCTGGTGATGCAGATCAAAATATATACTTTTTAATGAGAAAAAAGAGACCTTGAACTTAAGTCCTTTATAAAAAATAAAATATCTTGTTATAGTAGTACCTATAGCACCTAAAATATCTCCCATTCCCTAACTTTTAATACCCTTTCACCTCATTCACAACAATGTTTCACCGTTCTGGCTTAAATATATAAACTACCGATTCGTATTATATACACTTCAAATGAACATATTTTCCCATGGCTAATCATTTAATTTGAATAATCGAAACGGGAGCCAAGCTAAATAACAGTTTGGTCGATATTTATTTGGTCCCAAATGATTTTGAACAGACCCCAAAAATCGACGATCGAGAATTTATGAAGTTTTTAGCAATTCTCCTCTGGCTGATACATATATATATACATATATATTTTTAAAATCACTGGGCTCTGCTGGGCGTCCGATTTGTTTATTACTCATTCATGGTTTCGTCTTTGGCTGGCTTTGGCTTTTTGTTTGATTTGATTTTACCTTTTTCTATTTTCCTTTTTTTTTATTTTAGTTTTAGTTTTTCCCCCCTTTGATTTTCTTTACTGTTTTTCCCTCAGTTTATTCTTCTATTTTTCGGTGGTGGTTTGCCAATGACGTCATCTTGTGGCTGTTTTGTTTTCAGCTTCTCCTTTTTCGGTTTAATTTTCCAGAGCCTTTTCGTGATCTTCAGCCATGGTTAAGTTTTGACAGTAAACGCTCCCTTTGAATAACCTTTACAGTTTGTCTATAAAATTTCTAATGTTTTAGCCTATTCAACCTTTTATATATAAAAGCTTATAGCCTTAATTTAAAGTATTACAATTATTCTATTACTTTTGATTAGTTCACTGTATCGAGCACACCCTGTAATAATACGGTTTTCTCCGTTTCTCGCTTTTTGCGGGTGGTTATCCAAGCGTGATATGTGGCATGTGCAACTCCAAGAGTTTAGGTTTAATGCTTAAAGTGCACGAAAGTCTACAAGTTTACCGCTATTACCCGTTCCCACAAGCCTTCTTTCATCCTCCCCCCCATTTTCCCTTCTCTATTTTTTGTTTTTTGTTTTTTCTTTCTTTTTGGCCTTTTGGCATTGTCTTAATTTCCTTTGGTGGCATTATGCCTCAAGTGAAGAGGTTATCCTAATGACACACCCTGTGGGAGACAGACCTCAGGCACAGGTAATAAATAGAATCTATTATGAAAGCTGTTACATTAACAATTCTAGCAATTTACAGTTTTATTTCTGGGAGCTAAAATTAAAGGCAATGTCAAAAGATAAACAAAATATAAATATAAACAAAAAGGGAACCCTAAGGAATAATCCTAAAAGGAAAAGCTTAAGTTTAACCTGGTTTTCAAATCACATATAATTCAGTTTTCAGGAAAGAAAAAAGC